TGATAAAAAATTAAAGTTATATATTACTATATTTAGTAATTTTAATTATTATAAAAATATAGTAAAATTTAAAAAATTATACCGATATAAAAATCTAAATTTTTGGTCTCACCTTTAACATTAAAAAAAAAAATAAAAAAAAATCTAAATTTTTACTTAAACTTAATTATCTTAAAAACTGTTGCATAGAATTTTGTAATCTTTTTTTTATTTAAAAGATATAGTTTGAAAGAACTTATATTTTAATTTTAGCTTTATATCTTATATATTTAGCTTTGTACAGATTCTTAAAAAGTGTCCATAATACCATGGTACCCCACTGTACTATCTAGTATAAACAAGTTAATTGAAAATTTCTCCAAAATAACTAGTTTATCCGGCCCTATTAATTATGTCCAATGCTATCTTCCTTTAGGAGTTTCAGGTTCTTTAAATTTAAATATGTTAATACCAAGTGAGTGAATGACTAATTCAATTTGTTCACGAATTGTCATGTTCGTATTAACTTTTAATTTTTTATTAAATGTAGATTTAATCGATAATTCTAAAAAAGGCACTCGAATAGAACATCAGTAATTCGAAGCATTGTGTGTAATTTATCTGGAATACAATGCTGGTTTTCTAAAAATAGTAAAAGATTTAAATTTTTACGACCCCGAGTATTAAACGAGTTTTCAAAATCTAGATCTACATTCTAATAATCTGTATTTTTGCAATCACAATAAAGACAAAAATAATTTGCCATTGGCTCTTTAGTGCCAAAAACTAATGACATAAATTTCTAATCAGAACTAAACCAAAATTCAATTTGCCAGTGGTTGTTTTTTGAATCAATAATGCCTTCTAAATTTAAAGTTGTTAATTTATCAATTAAAAAACTAAATGCCTGTTAAAGAGATTTGTATTGCTCTATACCTGTATAAAGAAAAATACAATGTTAATTTGATGGACTTAAAACTGCTTCATGTTCATTTAATACACAAGCAGTAAACATTACATGGTTATAATGTTTACCAACTTGTCTCCTGTTGCTACTTAATTTAATATGAATAATATCTTCTATTTTGTAATACAGGTAAATCACTATAAGCTAATTTAGGAATTAAAAAAAGTAAAATCTTTTTAATAGAATGATAAACCCTATTTAATATTAAAGAATTAATTTGAACTAAATGAACAGGAATAATATCCTCCATAATTCCTGTTATTTCTTGTCGATTTTCATTAACTTTATATCTACATTCCATCTCAGGTATAATTGTTGCAAGCTGACAATATCATCACAAGAAATTAATGATTCATCACAAGTATGGACAATTGAATCTAAAAGTTTTGGTGGCTTTAATTTTTCTGAACTTGAATTTTGTAATTTGACAGATGATCCGTTAATATTTAACTCCATATACTCTAATTTTGTATTATTAAAGTCGTATAAATTAATTAAGGACTCGACCTTACTATTAATATTATAAGCTAGTGCTTTAAGCTGTATATTTTTTTGTGTTTCAGAGTTAAGTTGATGAAAAGGTTTATTTTTTCGATTTTGAATTTGATTTTTTTGATTATTAATTTGTCTATTTTCTAGACATTCAATATTAAATCTGAATAATACAACTCCAAAAAAAGTTGGTTTATTGTTATTGAATAAATTCTATTTATAACAATATAATATATTAATAAATATAATATACACGATATCTTAAACCAATTAATTTATTAAATTAATACAAACTTGTAAAAATAAAGTTGCCACATTACTCGCAGATTTATTACTTGTTACAGACTTTTTTTTTCTTTACTATCCTAAATTATTGTGTATATTACTTTGTCACTTGCATCATACCAAGTTTCAGCAATAATATCTGTACTACAAATTTTAACACCAACTTTATAACCATTAGGAATTAAATAATAACTTCATTGAGTTTGTTTAATATTTTGTGGATAATGTCCAAGACTAAAAATTTTATAAAGATTTTTTTTTTCTATTTCCTTCAAATTGAGTTACATAAACGTTTGGATAATCATCAATAACCTCTAAAAAATTGGCTTTTGTAGCATTTTAATGTTTAATTTCTTGAAGTAGGTAACGAATGGAAAGAGAATAAGCCAGAGAACCTGAAGAACTTGAACCAGAAGAATTTAAAGAACCTTGAATTGGTAAATAACTTACTGAATAGATAACTTGGAGTTTTTTTAAATTAAGTGGCATTTAACTTATTTCTAAATATTTGGGTATTCGAAGGTTAGATATTTAGAAAAAAAAATAACAGTAACAAAAAAAACATACAGTAAATATAATAAACTAAAGAAGTTGAGTAAACTTCTACTAAACACAACTTATTTCCAACTCATTAACTCATTTCTAATGTATAACTCATCTTCACTCATTCCCAACTCATTTCCAACTCATCTTCTAGCTTATATTGATAGCCTTGATTGGTTAGAAAAGGCGATTAATCATATGAAGATTTTAATTATGTCTTCAAAAATATTATCTAGGTAAATTTGATTGGCAAAATGTGTTGTACAAGATTTGGAAGATCTTAATATATAATTCATAAACATCACGCAAATTACAAAAATCGGCCCATATACACCCTAACCAAGTATCGATCTTCAATAAATAATTAATTTTTTTCTATTTTCAACTATTTTGAAAAATGCAATAATAGAAATATTGTAATATATAATTGTAAATATAACTATTGTGAGCTTTTACTATAATAATTTTTTTTTTTTTAAATATTAAGGTGACTACTTATAGTTTTTGGCATTTTATTAGTTCAAGTGGGTAGTTAATGTCCAAAGACATCAACCACATGTTATATCAGTATTACAAAAATACAACTAGTCATACATACAACTTTTGGTTGCCTAATTAAATAGTCTGCCCAAAGTGTTAGTGCTATACTAGGAGTTCTACACTAGATATCATACATATAGCCTAACTAGAAAGCTATCTAATTAAACTTTCTGGCTTTTATTGATGCTACATGTTTTTTCCTAATAAGTTTCTTTTTATGGGACAATTTTAGCAACAACAGAAGGCATTTATTTTTGTAGTAAACCTAATAGTGTAGTTAGTGCTCGGCACAATCAAATAATTATTTGATAGTCAAATACTTAGTAAATATTTAACGATCACTGATTTCCAAATCAGATAATGCTTTGCATATCAATATCGATATAAGCTTATTGTACTTATGACTCTTAACTTATGGCGAGAATAGATTTTTTAAATCCCCAGGTTTGAATTTTTTATAATGCGTTAGTTACAAAAAAAAAATTAAAAGCTTGGAACATTTTTATTATAGAACACTAGATCCGACATTAGAATGTTAAGC